GTTCAAACCAGTGTAAAGAATTACAGACCACAAGTTTGGCTAGAAGATGCACTTTACAGCTATGGGTTCCAGTTTTCCAATCAGTCCATTTGAGATTTATGTGAATATTGCCCAATTCATTTAGTATCTTACAAGTTATAATCAATGCCAACATTCTGTACCATTGCAGGAAATAGTATAATCTTCAGGCACATTTTATAAGGGTGTGGAAGTTGTAGTGATGTGTGATTCATCTATCTCTGTGTTTTGAAGCAGTGAACAATCACTGTAGTTATAATCATAAAATGAAAGACTTTAAACTTTAAGTAAAAACACTACTTTACTTGTCTAACCCTGACCGTACAGGTCAGAGCATCTCCAAAAGGTTTTGTAAGCTGTCCTCAGTACACAGTGGTGAGTAGCTACCAAAAATGGTTCAAGGAAGGACAATCATTGAACCAGTAACTGGGTCATGGGCACCCACAGCTCACTGATACTTGTGGGGAGCTAAAGGTGGTGTGTGGTCTGAGCTTACAGAAGAGCTACTGTCGTAAAAATTGCTGAAAACCTTCATGCTGCTATGATAGAAAGGTATAGGAACACATAATGTATCACAACCTGCTGCACATGTGGCTGTGCAGACCAGCTGAAGTTTCCATACTGACCTCTATGCACAACTTACATCTCCTACAATTGACAGCAGTATAATGGAGCCGAAGACGGTGACCTGGTCTGATGTACCATGATTGCTTCTACATTATGTGAACAGCTGGGTGTGTGCATCATTTACCTGGGGAAGAAGGCAGATTGGCCAAATCAGTGTGATGCTCTGGGCCATGTTCTGCTGGGAAACCTTGGGTTCTGGCTCATGTAGATGTTCACTGACACATAGCACCTTCCCTAAAAATGATTGCAGACCACATACAGCCCTTTATGGTAGCACTATTTCCTGATAGCTGTGGCCTCTTTCAGCAGGATAATGCTCCTTGCCACACTGCAAACAGTGTTAAGAAATGATTTGAGGAACATGACCAAGAACTTATTGTGTTGACTCGACCTCCAAAGTCCCCAGATCACAAACGGATTGGGCAATTATGGGATGTGCTTTAAAAAACTGTCTGATCTATTGAGGCCCCACTTTAAAAAGTGCAGAACTTGAAGCATCTGCTTCTAAAGTCTTGGTGCCTGACACCACAGCACACATTCAGAGGTATTGTGGAGTCAGTGTCTCAACGGATCAAATATTTTTTGGTGGCATGTGGGGGACACAATTATTGTTTTGTTGAAATATTGAAAAAGTCAGGGTTTGCCATCCACTGCACCTTCCTCCCTACAAATGTTCACGACAAACTAACAGCACTGTGTCCTGCACTGCAACAAAACATTGCCAGTGAAAACAATACACACGGAATTGCCTTTCCTCTGAAAAGTATGGCATAAAGCAAATTCCAAATTGTGTTGAAGCTTTATTAATAGTAGACGGGGTTGTGTTACTGTAATGTTAGTTTGAGTGAACATAGCTAAAGCTGTATCAGGTTCAGGTTCAAGGCATATGTCAGCCCACTGAGCACTCTTTATGTCACTAATGTAATTAAATTCACTGAACTCTTTGTACAGCCTATGAAAAATTATCTTTTGCACAGCCTTAGGCGCCTTCATTTTCCTGGTTAAACCTACAAGATTAAGATGACTGTAACCAACTGGAATGGAGACAATATTACAACATAACTTGGGAATGTTTGTATAAATATGATCAATATACGATGAAGACCTGTGACCCGTGGCATTGAGCATAACTCTTCTGGGAATAGTTCTAACTTGAGTCAGACAACATGCAGAGGATATTAAAGCAATTTTTCCTAAAAGGACAATAGCTAGAGAACCAGTTGATTATAATGTCCCTCAGTAAAAATATGTCTTTTATCAGACACTGTATAATATCTCACCAATTTCTTCAAGATACATGCATTGAGGTTTGGAGGCCTGTAGCAGCAGCCTACCAATACTGGCCTTACATGTGGTGGATTGGAGCTGAACCAAATATTTTCCACATCATCTGACAATAAATCAGCCAAAGTTTACTTGCAAAATTATTATTGATGTATAAGGCCACCCTACCTTTGGTTCTGTTTCTGTCCTTCCTATGCAGATTACATCAATCAATACCACTTTCATAACTACTAAAAGTCAAGTCCAAATGTGTCTCAAAGAGAAGCAACATGTTGAAATGATATGTTGTTCATGGTCAGTGAATTTCCTCTACCTTTTGTTCAAGACTGCAGACATTCCCAAGAACTAAAGAGAAAACTTTCCCTGAAAACCCATCCATCCATCCAT